TTTGGTCTTTTTTGAGACAGGGTCTCCCTGTAGCCCCAGCTGACCTGGAACTCGCTATGTAGACCAGGCTGGCCTTGAACTCAGAGATCTGCCTGCCTCTGCCTCCCAAGTGCTGGGATTAAAGGTGTGCACCACCAAGCCCGGCCCTCACCTCATGTTTTCAGAGAAAAAAAGGACTGTGAACCAAAGGTTCAGTCAATTAGCTAGAATGTAAAAACAGGATGTATCCAGTCTAGGGCACTTACCAATTTTGCACCTTAAAGATTTGTCTGTCCACTAGCGATGTAGCGCCCTTGGCTGAGTGCCCTGGTAGCATGCACAAGGCTCCAGGTTTCACCCCCAGCACTACAGCCAGGTGTGGTGGTGCACTCAGCAGGCGAAGGCAGGAGGAGCAGGAGTTCAAGGTACTCTGCTATATAACAAATTGGATGCCCCAAAAAAAAAAAAAAAAAAAAAAAAAAAAAAAAAGATAATGGAATGGAGATGACTAAGGGAGACTGGGGAAGGGAAGTATATCAGGTGGAGAGGGTCAGGAAAGCCCATGTGAGCATCTGAACATTGCAGGTGCTGTGTGTTTGCTGAGACAAAGTGTGAGAGACTCTCATCCAGAGCTGATTGCTATTATCAAGGGCCTCTTCAAAATGCAGAGATATTGGTAGGATGCTGTCCTGGTGTTCCATTACTGATCATATGCTAGTAGAGGGGAGAATACTTTTAAGACAATTTTCTATCTGAAGAAGAAAGTGACAAACAGCCTGGAGCTGAGTCCAAAATTTCCTAATTAAAAGGTAAATCCTGGACTTTCAAGTTCATTAACCTGAATCGTGTATCCCTGCCACAGGCAAACTATGGTACAGAGTAGTGGAAAATTATTATCAGGTACACACTCAAGCTGGTTCCAGGATAATGGTTCCCTTTAAAACAAGAAAATTCCACCATAAGTTGCCTGAGGGTATGTCAGCGTAGTTATTGAGAATGTACTGAGATCCGTTCAGAGAGATGACAAACAATCACTGCGTCCTTGGCATTTCCAAACACACGTTATGTTAACAGCTCACTGGGGGATTCCCACTATTATTTTCCTCATCCTCTCAGTTCCTTTGGATCCTAGATGGACTTTTTTCAATAGTTTGGGAGTGGACATGGTAGCATGTCATTGACCATGCTTACCTCAAGTGGATTTTTCCATGTGTCAACAGAAGTCTTGCTTAATGACTAAGAGATCAATTTCTTTTGGTCACATTCATGTTTCTGCTTTCTCTTTTATTTTTAATGGGTTTTTCAATTTTGTTTTGTGTCACCAGTCACATGGCTCGTATTTACAAACTGTGTTTTCTGGAGTCATCTTATTATCAATGTGTCCCTAACACTACTTCACTAATGGGACCCTACAATAAATAGTTCACCAGGATGCTTTTGTAAATGGCTAGAGGCCTATGAACGTCTTTCCCTTCAGGGTTGCTGAGTAAACCTTGCAGGGAAAAGAGTGACCTTCAGCCTACTGCTCTGTGTCCTTCCCACTACAACCCCTGGCATTTGACACAGTGATTTTGTACTGGTGTAATTTCAGACAAAAAAATTTCCAATCAGAAAGGGGTGATGCAATCTGATCACACCGGACCCCTGCACTCCTTCTTATTGATTTCATGAACATCTCATTTAGGATGTAACCAAATGTCCTCGCTTGTTTATTGTTACTCCCTGAATCAGAATTTCCTTTTCCAGTGATGTAATAGAATTGGCTCCAAATCCTAAATGTCCAGACATCGACCCTTATTAAAAGAATATAGCACCTCAACTCTAGTCCTGTGCCCTGTTGTAGATTCTGGCTCTACAATCGTGTTCACCCTTGGCAGTCCAAGATATTAATCTTCATTGTCATAGTTGGGGCTTGTAATCCAGAGTTCTCCCTCCAATACCAGCTGCATTTACTTTCAAGTGTTCCTTGCCCCAGGGCCCAGGGCTACTCTGCTAAATTCTGCTTGATATTTTGGAATTGTAGTGATCACCATTTCCCTGAATTGTTAATAAAATTAATGCCTTTAAAAATGATGTTAATACAGAGACCTATGACTGAACTGCTCTGCAAATCTGATGGGTTCAGTGATTACACTACCATGTCAGTCCATTAAACTTCACCTTCTGTACTTAAAGAAGTGATACTGGACTAGCCTCGTCGTCATATCTAAAATAATGGTTTTAGGGCTTGCACAGCTAGTTAATTGATAACATAAGAGTATTTTCTGTAAGGAAAAGAAGGAAAGACTAAGCCCATATCACTATGTCTTTAATTATTATTCCTAAAGTTATCTTGTGTATCATGGTTTAGAGAGAGGAAAGTCACAAGAAGACAGTGGCTACACTTAGTTGAGGAGGAGAAATTAGCGTCAAGCCTATCATATGGACTGAATTTAAAGAACTACGTGCCAGAAAGAACTGTGTAGAAAATGAACTCTAGAAGTCTATACAAGGTTATCTTCAGCTGACAGCAAAATATGCTCTGTA